GAATCTGCCTCTACTGCCGAAGGCACCAGCGTAAAGTGAACGTTTGCCCCATTGGCTTCTCCCCTCCCCGCTCTTCTGCAGCTTCAAGGGAACCCCCTCCCACCCAAACTGTGGCATCAGCATTTGGAATGGGAGCAGGCTGGGATAGTACCTGTCCATGCTAACTCCCGCTCTTGGTTCTGAGCCCACGCCTTCCTGCTGCTGGCTGCTCTGGAGGCAAACCCCCACACCTGTACGGCACACACAGAGACCGACACACATGGAAACTGGCACACACACACAGCATGACAGCCTTTGCCCCTCAGAGCCCCCCAAAATCAGCCACGAGGTGTCACCTGTCTCCCACCATGCCAGGGCTGTGCCCTGCAGCAGGGTGACCCTAAGACATGCCCTATGAGCCACCAGCAGTGGCACCATCGACTAGCCCGGCTGTGGCGGCCCTGGCCAAAGGTGCCGCTCTTCTGCCTGACAGGTGGTGACCCTGGCAGAGGGGCGGCCTCAGCCCAGGGGGTGCCATTCACGCTGATTCTGATCTCACTCTGACAAACTCTGTCATGGTGCCTGTGGGGCTGTGTGAGAGCAACACCCACCTCAGCATTGACAGACAAGGGAACGGGGCGGGGACCCTCTTCCTCATGAAGGCCTCGTCCTCTATCAGCCGGTAAAAACGGCTGCGGCGTGAGGCGCAGGGGCGGGTGCTCCTTCTCCACCCCTCCATGCCATAGTGCACCGGTGCTGAGCTTCACCAAACAAACACACCTCAGGAAATCACACTGTGAGGCAAAATTACTCACTGTCATGGACGTGACTGAAGAATGAGCAAAATTATTGCAACCGAAATATCTACTTAACAAGCTAGTTGCTTGCAATGAGCTTTTATTCCCTTCCTCCCTGCAATCAGTTTTGCCTGAAACACCAAATTCTCATCTTCCCTATAAAAAAGCCCTCTGGCAATTTACATTTATTAAAAGTCTCTATTTTTGTCTTCTTCTAGTCACATAGCTTGGATCATCCACATGTCTTCTGACTAAAACCCTGAAAACACAATGTCCAAGACTCTGGGAACACTCTGTATTTGACTAGCGCCAAGTGGAATGTATTACTAGATTACACATATGATCTTCGTTATCTAGGATATTTAGCCTTTGGCACAGGACCCCTGGAAGATAACATGCCAGAATCACTTACTGTGCACTGGGAGAAGGAAGAGCAGCCTCTCTGTGAATGGCATAACACTACTTCTACGTAGCAAAGGGGAGAAAACACCTTGGAAACTTGTGAAATCCTCAGTTTTTACCTTCCACTTTTTCAACCATAAAAGCCACATAATAAAATTGGGTAGGGATGACATTTTAGGACTTTCCTTTTGGGGTTCTTTAGAAATTTGTTCAGAAAACCTTTTAAAAAATATACTTCAGGGTTTTTCTGAACAGCCTCTGCTTCCAGCTTACACCAAAATATCATAAATATGCTTCATGGTGTAAAAGAAGAGTTGTTTCATTTTTAGTATTTTAACACCTTTATTGTGTAGAGTCACAGATCTCTAAATGGTCGTGCAGACTCAGAAATTGTGAAATTATATTAATAAATTTCAGCATGTAAAAATATCACTTTCAATGATCTGGTCAGGTGTGCAATAGAATAGGGGAAGCTGCCAGTGACTGCAGCACATAGTTTGGCTGTCCCAGTGAAATATCTGAGATGGAAGCAGAAGTCTGACTACACAGACCAAAAACTTGGGTTTTGTCACAAGTGAAAATTGTTTTGAGGGACAGAAGAACAAAGGCTGAAAATCTGACTTGAAACAAATCTTTATTATTCTATATTAACTACTTTGAGATGACAATACCTGATGCTTTAAATCCAGGCCTCAGACATTTCTGTTTCAAGCCTGTCATTTGTGTTGCACTGAACTATATCATTAAGTTGTGCAGGTTTCATTAAAGGACACCAAGAGAAACTAAGAGGAAAATTACAACTGAAGAACAGGTCCAGGGCCAAATATAACTAACCCAAATCCTTTGCTGATTTCATATACATTAATGGAGTAAACAATCAAATTAACTTTTCCTGTATCTGAGAAAAATACCAAAAGCTTACTTTTCCTGTGTATTTCTACTATAACTTTGCTCAAAGTACTTCCAAAGAGGACATCCGATGATGTGGAACAGTCCTTACATGCCTATTCATCACAATTTTGTGATGAAAAAGAAGCTGTGCAGAAAAAAAGGAAGAGAAACAAGAACAGGAAGCAACGGAATAGTCTCCATATTTTCACCTCTTGGGTGTAAGGGCCCAAATTCCACTATAATAGCTGTACTATTTACTATGTTCCTCTGCTGCCTGCAGGTACAAGTCAAGTGAGGCAGGGATTACAGCATGATTGGACATCCGTGCATCAATGTGCCACACAGCCATTCCATAATTCTTCTGCAGGCCAAATATCTTGTATCTATCTTTATATGGCTGATGTGCTAAGGTAAGATTTGTAAGGAAGGCTGAACTTTCATTAAACCAAACGCTATAGCTGGAGAAAACAAAGACAAGCTTTTAAGCACACAAGATTTTCAGATCTACTTCTCTTTCAGGACTTGATAAGAGGACAATGGCACAAAACAAGCCTCTGCTATTTCCAGCTAGATCATCTTGCCTTGGTCACATCCTTATGACAGCTACAACAACATCACCACTAAAAATCCTTAATTCTCTGAATGCTAAATAGACATCTCCAGATGTCACAATGGTTTCTTTGAATAAATAGCATTAATAAACTTTAAAATGCCCCAAAGTAAGTCTGTCCAAAGCAGATGCCAATGCATTTTATGAAAATGCTCTGTATATAAACCAGGGACACCTGACATATAAAGTGGTATAAAAATACAAACCGACTTGGCTTCTAAGTATTTCCTGCCCTTTTAAACTTTGCACTTGTTCATTAATTTCAACAAATATTGAGGTGAGCCAGCTGCTGAGGTGAGAGCATTCAAATAAATCCCTCACAGATGTTTGTTAACTTCAGATAGGAGCTTTATTATCTACAAGTCATTAATCAACCATTAACAAGTAAGTGTTATGGAGTCCCAGTATTAAGGTTCACTGCCAGAGAAGAATAATGGATTTTGCAGACTGGCTGTGTCTACAAGAAGGAGAACTAAGAGCTGAGACAGGTCTGAGGTAAAACATTTGGAGGAGATTAGAAAACATGAGAAGTCATTTTGTTGCTCTTCAGCTCTCCTTCAGAGAAAGCACTTCACAAGAGTTAAGCATTTACACAACAAACTGAGTGGAAAGATCAAACTCATCCATCAGTTCAGTGATGAAGAGGCATGTGCTTTGTACAGCCAAACAGGGAAGTCAGGCACAGGTGAGAATTGCTGCTCCTGTGAACAATAGTAAACACCATCCAAAGCGTCACCCTCTAACTCAAAGACTCTGAAGCTATAAAACCACCTGCTCTGACTTCAGGGCCCTCAGACTTCACCCAATACCTCTCACAAAGGCCACAGACTTCAGTTCAAACCAACAGGAGCAGCTAAATTGTTGCATGCCACAGACAGAGGACAGACATGATTGAGGCAGCATCCATCAGTTATTAAAGCAGCAGGGTCGGTCAGGTAGGCAAAGCATCGCTCTTACTGCAGAACAAGGCAACAGTCCTCTTCACCACAAAGTTTCTGCCAACTGGCCTTAAAAAAAAGTCCTTTCACAAACCAGAAATAATTCTGATCTGGGCTATACAAGCAAGACATATTTACGCTTCAGAAAGCGTAAAATTCTTAGGTGAAAACACACATACTGAGTGTGTATCACACTCGGTGCCTCTCCAGCTATCTCCAATTTCTGATACTTATGGAGCAGGCAATAAAACAAATTAAAAAGCAGAACTAAAGAAAAATGTTAATATCTGAACCCCAGCAGGCAAATGAAATTTGCCTCTCCTATTTTGCAACTCTCATTTTTTTTCACAGAGTACTTTCACAGGTTTCTGAAATACTGTGGAGTTCTACATGATATCAAAGCAGATACTAGTTAGATCAAACACAAACAACTTTCCAAAGCTCTGACTTCCTATATACTGACTACTTAACACGCCACAGAGTAGGAAAAAATATTCCTTACAAAGCCATACTCTAATTTCCCTCAATAACATTTCTTCATAAAGAGCAATACACAGCTGGAAGCATTAACAGCCTGCCAGATGGTTCACTTCTCAATAAACACATTTTGTAAGTTTAAAGTCTAATGAACTGTAGTGCAGGGAGACAAAAGTTACGCATGGAGAGTGGTTCAAATGGCAGGTCAGGGCTGGGGCTGGACAGGGGACTAGCTCCATAGAAATTCCCATTTCTATGGCAGCTTTACATTGGCGGAGGGAGGAGGAATGGCTGATTCTGGCAGAGGACAAGGACAAAAAATGCTGAATGCTTAACACCCACATACTCAGCCCCACAAATGCTAATACTGGACAGGAGAAGGCTTGATCACCAGATCCTGGTCCACAGCATTGTCCTGAGTCAGCAGGTGCTTCCAGATCCCTGGAGAGCCTGTACCGTTCAGCAGGCAATGACAGAAGAAACTTAGCTCAAATTAAATTGCACAGTTCCACAATAAACAATCCTGAGTTATGCCTGGCACTGCATAAGCATACAAGGCAAAAAGCAGGGAACATCTTCTTCTGCCCATGCCACCTCCCCATGAGGCACTCACAGCCAGTCACAAACTATTTACAACTGAACAGCCCAAATGTCACATGCCCAGTTGCAAATTGCAGAGCAGCTTTGCCCACCCATTTGGGTACAAACAGCTTAGTGTGGCAGCACTGGGGAAACCCATGAGAGTTCTGTCACATCTTTCAGCAGGTTTTGTAGTTGTGCAGCTACCAAGCAGCATGAATTGTGTTCAACAGCCTGGCATGGACAATAACTCAAAAACATTTCAAGTTTTGAGAATGAGGCTGAGAAAGTACAAAACAGTACAGCAACCAAAACTCACTGACTCACCTTGAGGCCGATCTAGATCTGCTAAGTGCTTTGACAAAGATCAAAGATGGTGCAGACTGGCGTCTCTGGGCCAAACTCTTCATTTTCTGGTTGGAAAGAGAAACAAAATGAAACCACAGGTGAGATTTGGAACAGTAAGTGCATGCATACAGAATGGTTGCAGCCAGACTTCCATTTCAGACTATGGGAAAAAGGCTGAGTTACTGCCATCAGAAACCCTCAAGGGGGAAAATGGTTGTAAAATATCACCTTTGAGAAAAACAGGAGCATGACCAGAAAGCCGGTGATAAAGAAAAGCTGATTATTAGTGTCTATACACAGATACCTGTGGTACACTGCACACATGAAATAAACACCTAAAGATGGTCCTCAACCACTTTTTGTCCCTTAATAATTTATTGTACTTTAAATTTATCAATTTTCCAGAGAGTGGCTTAAATTTCAAGTGCTTCATACATTTCTATGTCAGATCTGACATCTACCATAAATTAAGGTTTGGAATCTATGCACCTAACTTTACGTGCTATATTGGGTTACCTTTTTCTTTTCCAAATCTTCAGAGATGAGTGCATTTTCCTTCTCTGCTTATCTAGCTGGAACATTATATCTTGCCTATCAGTAGCCAATCCTGACAGTTTTTTCATTCCTGATTATGTATGGGAAAAATAGGATAGTGGGAGGCAGGACAGTTGTTAGCACAGAACTAGGAAGAGACTGAGAAAAAGAAGACACTCAAAGACAGAGAACGCAGCATGAAAAAAAAAAGACAAAGCACAAGGAAGAGATGCAAATATCAGTAGCTAACAAGGGAGCGTGGATTTCCGTTCACTGAAGTTGAACACTACAATAAAAATACTGAGAAAAGAAACAATACTGCTTTCCCCAGAGGTAAAAAAATTTCAAAAGCACCCACAGGAGACAAAACCACACATTTCCCTGAACACAAATGTATTCACCACATCATATTCACTCTCCCTCCTGCAGCCAGAAGCAGGACCGAGTAGTCCTGGCCCTGACCCTGGAGCTGCTCTCTTCAACGGGTTGTGCAGCCTGCTGCTGAGGTGCCTGACCTCTCCCCTCACTGACCCTCCACCAGAAGGGTGATTGTTACCTTATTTAGCTTAAATACTTTTCAGAATAAACTGGTGAACAAAAGAACTGGGGTCAAACTCCTCCTGAGATGCCAACAGGGCAGTATCCGATGCTGCAGTGGTCCCTTACACTACCCTGGCCACCACCCGCAAACCAGGTGAACCTTTAACAGTCATGAAGTCTCTGTTCCCAGCTAATCGCAAAGCATGACTTTCTTCCTTCATCCTAAAAATAACCACTGACTATCAGGAAAAATATGTCAGAACAGTCAGAACAACTGATTCTTCTGCCAATGTATGTGCTGGATGTGGCACACATTTTGTTTGGGCAGGTGCACAGCGTGCTCCCCTTGGAGAAATTGAACTCTACAGTACTATTTTACTTGCTTTTGACAAGGACATTTCTTTTATTCACTGCAATGCATCTGTTATTGTGTCATTTTTTTTTTGGTTCTCCCTTTATTTATGTAAAGCACGCTTCTTTGTTTTGTCAAGATACTCAGTTATAGCTATTGTGCAGCAATTGTTATAAATTCAACCATGTAATTTCAATTCACCTTTAAAAATTATCCCCTTCTCCCTATTTGATCAAAAATTAACCTTCTCAAGACTGATAAATTAAGTCTGGGAATATTTAGCTGTCTCAGATCAGACTATAACTGGGTAACAGCAGATTACTAACAAAAGAGATGCCCATTTTTGATAGATTTGAAATAAACAAACAAATAAATATGCTAATTTTTTCTAGTGAATGAAATCTGTTTGTCTTACTGCTAGCAAATCTGAAAAGCTGTTAGCAATTTTAAAAGTAGCATAGCTGCAAATATGAAGGAAAAAAGAAACCTGTTTAACAATGCAGTCTAACATCCTACAGAAGATCAGCCACATATTTCACACAAACAGCAGATTTTAGGAGTTTATATAAAGCATCGACTCCCAGTGGGAAATGTATTGTAATTTACTCATTATTGGGCAGGTGGCTTTTGGGGGGATAAAAACTGGAACATCTCAGGTCCTGCAAATGCAGTGAAAGTTTGTATACTTTCAAAGAGATCTTAATTCCTTTGACTTCTCAGGTCTGAAAAGAAAGCAGCATTTTGAAATCTATGGCAATTATGGCAATTCTTTTCATGCTTGGGTTAGCAGTGCTGAATAGTGCCTGTGGCAGTGAGATTCTAGTCTTGACTTAAATGTCTGAAGACAAAGGTGAAGTCTAGAGCTACAGCACGTTTAATAAGAGCTCAAATAACTGGCAGAGATAAATCTGTTGGAAGACATTCCAGGCAGTCTGTGATCCAGCCTCTCTGAACTTGCTGAGAGCAAGATCCATTTGAGCAGGCTGCTCTGGGCCACCACTAGTCCAGGTCTGTATTACCTCCAAGGATGAGATTCCACAGCCTCTCTGGACAAAATCTTAGTACAGCTATTAAGCAAATCTTAGGAGAAAAAAAAAAGCGCCTCAAAACGTAAAAGGATCACTGCAAAACTGAAGTGAGTCAGGTCAGCTGTATGCAAATAAAAACATTACACAGAGACATTGACTACAGACAGAAAGGAGTGATTTGTTTTCATTTTGCTATGTACAGAGTTTGGGAAGAGAAAATAAGTGACCATCACGACAACTTAAATTCATTTACTTTGAGAAGGAAGAGGATAAATTCATATTTGGTTGAATTGGTTTCATTAAGTTGAACCAAGATGCCTGCTCTACTCAATTTCACTGCCTTTACATGCAAGGATGGCAATGTGGAGAAGAGGAGATACATCCTGAACATCTGTAGTAAGAGAAGATGTTTGGAAACAAAAGGAGATGCAATGACCAATTATCTAAGTATGGGACACAGAAGCATTTCTCAACATACGTCCCACACCATTACCTCCCATTTTTTCATGTAAATATTAGAAAGGTCAACAGCAAGAGAAATCCTCATACTTGCTGGCTGAGTCACATCCATGTGAAATGTATCATAAAATCAGTATCCATAATGAATGTTTACAGTGTGCTAAACACAAAGATGATAATCTTGTATCAGACAGGACAAACTAGAGTTATTTTTGTCTTCCTCACATTCAAAAGCTTGAGTTCCTGCCCTCTCCCCTCTGATTCAGGTTTAACTTCATATTTTCTGCATTTCTGGTGGTGGTTGTCTTGACTGCTTTTTAACAGAAACAAAAAAGTTTTGCATTATTAGTTGTTGGACTGGCAGTAGTATTTGGCCACTTTCTGGTATAAACAGACACAGGCCTATAGATTTCAAAAGAATGAATTTACACCAGATATTGATCACACCTACACTCTGAAACACTGTTTCATAAACTGTAATGAGCAGATCAGCCCACCATGCTGAGGACAATAAGCTTGCAAACCATCACTGAAAATATGCTATCCCTCCTCAAGAATCAGAACACTCTAGGGATTACAGCAAAACTTGCATAAGTATCTCACAAGTCATCAGATGGAGGAAAAATCTATTCCTGACTGCCAGTATTCTGCCTCGCAGTGGATAATGGTACTATATGGAATTTACACAAAATAATATATTGTCAAGTTATGATATTGATTTCCATTCTGCGAAAATGGTAACATAGAGCAGCATCTTCATGAGGAGATCAAAAGAACTGGAACTGTCTTGCATGTTACATGTATCGCTTAACTATATCACGCTTATAAAGAGAATTGCAGAGCGTGAATTAAAGAACGCATTAAAAAAAAATTATTGGTACTTGCTATTTTTTTTGTGAGGGCAAATAACTGAAGTAACACATATATAGTGTACGTAATATTTTCAAGTATTTAGAGGAGTTAAAATCTATGCAATAAGCGGACACCCTGCAGCAGCTACCGCAACCATATAGGAGATAGGAGCAGGCAGGCTAAGGCAGGGATTGTGTGCTGTGGTTCCCCAGGAGCACACTGCCCACGTTGGCAGGTTTAGATGCCTGACCCACGCAATGGTCAGACACGTGCAGGAGAATTCCTCTCACTCAGCCTCTGACTCACACACCTGAGCTATTTGCCCTGTGCTCCTTTTTGAGACAAGAGAGAGAAAAGGACACATTTAGGGCGCAGTTCATCTTATCTGAGAACTTTTCCTTCACTGACTGTAAAAGAAAACTAAGGTGACCAAGAAAATTGAGTTAATCATCTCAATCCTATTCTAGCTGCCTGAGCAAAGGACAGGGAACGAGCAAATCTGTGAGCTCAGTAACACAGGGAACAATTGTCTTCTTGTATTATTTTGAGCTTACGATGAGAAAATGATGTTACCTGATATCTATTTAAGAGACTCACACAAAATTATTTAGTTCCTGACTGACAGGTAAACATTGCAGAAATGCCTCCTCAGCAACGTGCAGATAACCTTGTTAAAGCCTCGTCAGACACTAAAGGATTTCAGGCCCCTGATTTACAGGCTCACTCCAGAAGTGGGTCAAGGCTGGGACATCTCCTGGGTCATTTAACTGGTTGACAGGGACAACCCTCAGATGTGCCAATGCCTTGAGCTGAGGCTCAAATGGCTAAGCTCACCCTTTCACTGATTTATTTTTCTAATGAAAGGAAGACTGATTTTAACAAAGCCTACTCTTTAAAAAAAGTATCTGAGTTAATAACTGAGCAATTTCATCCATGCAAACTCTGGTCCTGTTGTCTGAGCAACCAACCATATCTGTGGCATGCATTTCTGGTTTAGCTAGACATGAACCAAAGCACAGAACACAAATCCTTACTAAAAACTGTGAGGCAAAGTTCAGCTAACAGCCTCAATCAAAAAATCAAAACAACCATCAGCATGTATTCCAGGACAACTGGGCATCACTCTTTCCCCTGTATCACGGGGCCACTTATGAGAGGCAATATATAATTTTTTCCTACATACTATAATCCAGCATTTGTTAGACTCACAGAGTAGAGTCGTCTAAAAGTACCAAAAATAATAAGAATGTCTTATAGTTTGGTAAAGCAAGAAATAGACCTATACTGACCTATAACATTC